CTTTAAGTAGTTGGATGAGCAGCTTACTTCTGCATGAAGTAATGTAGCAGGTCGCACTTAGGTACCATTAGGGTGGCCGAGTGATGCTAGGCTTGGTAGTTAAGGATATTTATGTAATTGCAAATGTAATTTCAAAATCTTAATAAAGCATTAGCGTGACTGCTTAAGAGAAAAAAAAAAAAAAAAAAAATTGCTCGATTTTTAAAAACCAGTTATTAAAAAACAAAAGAAATAGGAGCATCTAATGAATCATTAAATAATCCTAATAAATTCCATTTTGCCAGTGGATCATCAGCTGGATGGTTAATACATCTGTTGACTTCAAATTCAAATTCAAGTATTTCATTATTTATAGTTTTCCCGCTGTCCAGACGATCCTCAATATCTAACATTTCTATTCAATTTTCAATTACGTGTGACCAATATTCACTTTCTTCATCAACTATATCTTCAGGTGTTTCAAGAAATTCACTCAGTTCGGCTGATGGGCTATTAGGAGTTGATAGATTAATTTCATTGTCGCTTGTAAAAGGTGAAGATTCTACCATTTCCTGAGTTCTATTTTCATCATTATCATAAGGTTGAATTGGTGCTGCAATATTAGTTTGTTTATATTGTTGTTCGGCTGTTTCAATTTCTTTACATTTTTGCCTGATTAATATGTCACTTCGTAATTGACTCATCGCAAATACTTTTTCAAACTTGATTAATTTAAATTAGTAATGTAAAATTAAACCAAATTTATAACAAATCCTATATACATACTGACAAGCAGTTTCGGCACTTTGTATGTAAAAAACCCATAGTAGACCATAATCGTTCAACCGAAGCTGAATTAACACATATACCAAATAGTTGTAATGCCAATCGAGCTAATTCTGGTGTTACTCCTTTTGCCATATCCCAAAAATCAACAATCTTTTCATTAAATTGATTGTATGATTCTTTATTAAAGGGAAATTCTTCTCTCTGATATGATAAAAATTCACGTAAAATGCGCGTTGGTACTTTTCCGAACCATATGTAATAGTAATAGTTTAACCATTGAGCGAAATGTGTATAAGAAAGGTTAGAAATATTAGAAGAAAACATAGAAAGCCGATATTTTGAGTGCAAAATAATTGATAGTAGAAGTAAAGGTTGTTCCCACTGAGCCCACCAATTCTCTAAATGTGCTACCATATGATCAGAAAAATGTACGTCTTTATGGTTTGCAAAAATGTTGACAAGCCATCCAAAGCAGTGAGCGATTTCATGTAGCCTTGCAACATCTTTTTGAAGTTTATTAAGTATGCAGCATATAGGAAATAACAAATCTTGAAGTTCATAAAGTTGGTTCCAAAAATTAGAATCTTGTACAATTGATATAATATCATGCGGAAGTGTCTTGCTTGTGTCCACATTTTCTGAAATAAATCGTTGTCGTGAAAATCCACTTCGAGAAGTGCTAGTCGATCCAATTCTTGAAGGTGAAAACTTTGTGGCCAATGTCTAATTGTTAATATATTTATTAAATAGAATTTTTTTAACAATGAAAATAATAACTGATAATACTTATAATTTACTTTAAGTGCAGCTTTAGTTTTTAAAACTGAATGAAAACAAAAATAAAAACTGTTCCAACGTGTTTCAGCTGGAGTGACAAGGGAAATAGTTCGTTTGTAACATGACATTTGCTCATCTCGTAATAATCCAGTAAAATATGATGATGCATGAAAAAAATTTACAATACGTATTGCATTTGTTAATACTCGTTTGTATACATTAGACTCTTTAAAAATATCACCCATAACCAAGTTAACTTGATGTGCCATGCATGGTAAAAAAACTTTATCAGGATGCTTGACTCTTAATTGTCATCTATAAAAGATTCATTGCAGTATTATTATTTATAATATTTAAATAAATATATTTCTTAATACTTGTCTTGCAGCTGCATATTCACCAGAAGAGTCTGATACATAACAATTAATTTTTATGCCTTTTTCATTCACATCATCCATTATATTTTTAATTAGAAGTTTCGCATTTTCAGTTCTTGAACGTTGGTTGCTTATATCGCATGCATTCCAAATTAAAGGTTTCTCCTGAGACGTAATTAAAACAACACCAAAAATATGCTCTCGTTTAATATTCATCCAGCCATCAAAGGCTGCAGTTATGCCGATTTTATCTGCGCACACTTTTTGCAAAATTTCTTCTGTCAAAGTTTTAGAAATTTTTGGAAGTATTCGATCACTTATCGCTTGTCGGTTAGGTAGTTTTAAGGTTGGAATAATAAAATTGAAAACATCTCTTGTTTCTTGATTCTCTGTAAAGGTAAAAGGAAGACCATTTGACACAACCATACGCAATACCAAGTTTTCAAAATGCAGCTTGTCTTTCTCAGATAATGAACATGCAACATAATGTTCAAAAGTTGCTTGCTTTGTCGTTTTCAAAGCAGGTTTGTTAGTAGATGATAAAGTGGGCACCAATGTTTCAGAACTCTCATCTTCAGATTCGGAATCATTTTTGGTAGCTATAGTTTTAAAAAATGATTAATAAGCGGTATAGACGATTATTATAGCACATTGTTGATCTAATTACTTTTTTCTTTTTTATTAGAATCTTCAGGAACAGGTCACGAAAGAATTTCCAAAGCTTCTTCATCATTGTATTCAGCCTTAAAATTCTCACAATTTCGAAGGTGACCCCAACATAATTTTGCCTTGTTAGAAACAGAACATTCAGGCTTCATGAGAGCAACAGGTAAGGTATATTTTCGCATACATGAAAGACAAACAGCCTTTTTGTTCACTTTTGGATTGTCGGATGCAACTAAATGAAAAAATTCTTGGAAATTATGCTTTTTTTTGCCCATCTTTTAAAAAATATAAGTTTAAGGCCCACGGTATTTAAATATTGGTTTAAGATAGTACAGTTTTGATTTTATATATACTAGAGTTAGAGATGGGGTGCTCCTTTTGTACAAAATATATTTAAATGTTCATTTTACGCTTCTTCTTTTATTTTTATTTATTTACTTATTTTTGCTATTATTATTCATAATATTGTTTTTTTGACAAAGTTCCTTTCATGCTTTCCTTTTCTTTGCATTACTAATTATATTTTTATTGATGCTCTATGATTTGGTTACTATTAGGTAATATTTTTATTTGGTCTTTTTTTTTTTTACATTACTAATCATATTTTCTTTAATGTCCTATTTATAATTTTCATGAGTTTACGCTTAAATAAAGACTTCAATTGTATGATTTTACATTGAGAGTTCCCAAAGAACAAATAAATTCACAATCAATATTGTTCATATTATATTATCGTTTTCCATCTCGCATAAATCACCCAATCCTTTTCACTTATCAGTAGAGATGCATTTTCCTATTTAAATTTACGAATATCCTTAAATTTAAATAGGGAAATGGATAACGGATCACCTGTAACGATGCCCAATTTGACTGGTGCCCACATGTTTTATTTTACATATTATTTGGGAACCAGCATCTTACTACGTAATACGAACGATTCTTCCCATTATTACCTATTCTATGCAATGTTCGATTACGAATACTGACACTAACATATTACGTAAAATACTTTTCATATCAATTCGATTGTTTAAAGTTAGCGTTTGAATAATTCAAGGTTAGACTAATGCTATGTTACAAAAATTGTATTGTTTTACACTTCATGATTTACGCAACAGTAAAGTTTATCACATTATACATAAAGCACTAACCAGGGGCACGGAAATTATGCGATTTGTTTTAGTGCGATTCTTGAAAAACTACACCAAATCGCATAATTAATTATTACATAATGATAATTTTTGTATAACTGATAGCTCTCAACGAACCCAAATCACACTTAATAACACAAATTCCGTGTCCCCGGCACTACATAGCATTTTATAGTTATCATTATGTGTGTAATACGCAATGGTGAGGTTGTAATTTTAAGTAATTTTAGTAGCTTTGTATAAGTTTAGCAAGTGAGGTGTAAGAGCAATAACATTATTATGTTTCGATATGAGTTTAGGATAATCACATTTCTGATTTGATCGGCATCGTATCACGTGATCGTACATTAGTGAGATGACCTTGGTCATTTGGTCATGAGTCATTTGAAAATGACCCAATGACCAAATGACCAAATGACCTAGGTCATTTAACCAAATGACTAGGTCATTTAAATTTTGAGCAAATGACCTGGTCATTTACCATCCCTGCGTAACACTAATAACCACACTGTCGGGATCATAGTAAATTTTTTTTTAAAAAAAAAAGTGCTTATAAAGAGTTGTGCTAGCATAGATGTTTTTTCCTATATGTTTATAATAGTTGGCTTTATAATAGTTATACTGATAAAGAGAATTTTGGATGTGTTTATATAGGAGTGGCTATAAGGAGGTTCGAATGTACAATGTAATTAATTTTAATATATCTTTCATTTCTTACAGGTCCTATAATACATCGTTTGATTATCCATGTTCTTGGAAGGGTTTTACTGTTTTCGAATTTTTCGCATTTTGACATCATTTTCTTTAGATTTTACATAGTTTTCTCCGCTTCTAACAAAAATCTATTATCATTGTACTGTCAGAGGCTAAGTGGATTAAAACACGCACCAACAAACGAGGATAATGCGACAATTGTCTCTTGAAATTCGTCGACGTCATGTAACGTTACTCGAAAGTCAAGGTGAGGCGAATTCGATTTGGCACGGCTAAGGCGACTATCGAGTGCGTTAAAAGGTAAGAAAAATGGGCTTTAAAGAGCATTTGATTCTCGACTGATATGGGTCTTTTATTTGGAACGGTTAGTTTAGTGAAGAGATTTTATTAATTAATTGTGTAGGGCGCGAGTGGCACCTTTTACAAGAGAAAATAACGGTTTTTTTAAAACGATTTACTAGGGACTTGGGCTCATATTGCTTCAGAGGGATCGTCGTTCGCATTACCAATTCAGTTTAGGGCCACTACGACCATTGTTTTGCGAGGGTGTTGGGAGTACGTTTTACCTATGACAGTACTCCCCTCCCGGCACTTCAAAAATCCGATCAATTTTTAAGTTTTTGTTTGATACGAATATTGGGACACTTAAAGATCACTGAACCAAGTGATCATCACATCACGTGAAAACATACATTTGTTTACTAGCACTAACAAAATCGGTAAACTATACTATCACCTACCCTAGCACTAATCCTAACTTAGGCCGAATGATTTACCATGAGACGTGATTACCACGAATATATCACTGAGTTCAGCGATCTTTAATATACCCGCGAAGATTTGCATCCTCCCACTAGGGAATTGATTCGACAAAAAAATCGGTCATCGATGACTGATAGAAAATTTTTTTTTGGATCAATTAAAAATCACTTATGTATGTTTAATCGAATTGATTGACTCACTTTGGATCGAGCTTATAACATTGTGCTCTAATCACGGTTAAATTCTGAGCTCCATGAAGGCACTTTTCTCATTATAACTCTATAGTAAATTTTTTTGGAATTGGTTCATTTTATTTATATATCTAGGGAGTAGACGATCAATGAGAACCCATACTAAAAGATCGGTTCGAGGCATGTTGAACCTATGCAGGTAATCATGCTTTATAACTTGCCAATGAGACTCCACAATAATTGTGGTTTTTAAAACAGAGATCCCTTCCTTTGGCCACTTTAATGAGTAGTACTACTCAATCCACAAATAAGATAAATCATTTTCTTTACAATATAGATAGGTTTCTCTAACGGCATTTTCATGGATCTGTTCTTTAGAATAGTATTGTTCATTATACACAGGGATAAAAAAATATTGGTGAAAGTGTTTAGTCATAAGATCAATAATATTATTCCGATGTTCAAAAGGGCAAAATATAAATGCTGGTTTTTTGGGTCGGGTACAATAATAGGACAAAAATCATGATCTATAAACGAAAATTATGCCTTAGCATTTATTGCAGAGTATCGACATAATTTCGGCTTTTTAGTTGATGGTAGTTGTTTTTTTATTGCGTATTTAAAATGTCAGTAACAAAGCTGTATATTGACCTCCAGCCATATTTTTTTGGCCGCCTCGAATTTGAGGTCAGTCATAATGAAGGTTGGGTTGACTTCTCTATTATGTAATTCGTTGAGTAACCATATAATCATTCTGGTACGAGTTCCATTATTAATTCTATTTGCAGTTGTCAAAAGCGTATATTCTAATGGAAACCCGATACCATCAAATTCAGCAAGTATAGCTTATAGTTCAAGGTTCGTTCTGTTCGTATTGTCTAATAATAATTATTATAGTTTAATATTAACTGTTATCCAACCTCTACAGTTAAATCTTGGTATTGGAAAGTAATCTTTGTGTTTAGTTGAATAAATGTGCTTTTTTGTTTTTTTTTGCCTATTAAGTAACTGCGCGCAATTATATCTGTAAGTAATTTTTTCATTTGATTTATGCAAGACCTTGTCATTATAACTATGATAAAGTTAGTATTTGTTAATAAAAAAATTGTTTATTTTATTAGTTATCAATCTTACTTAAATTTAAACTCAAATTCTATTAATACTCTATTCGCAATATCCACTGATATATTTTAATTGTTTTCTCATAAATTCGAATCATATATTTGGTAATGTCGATAATATACTCGAGATTTTCTGTATTTTGCCCCTTTGTATTTCTTATAATGGTACTGAAATTATCTATTGTAATTCTTGTAGTTGATTTATTTACTAAAGTTTCTATATTTTGCCCTTTGTATTTCTTTTAATCCGTCTTCGTATACTTGTAAGAAAAATGTTTTAAGTGCATAATAATAATGTTAGGCAATACAAATTTAATTTGGTACTGAAATCATCTATTGTAATTCTTGTAGTTGATTTATCTACTAAAGCTTTTGACAGGATAAATATAAAAAAGATTTAAATAAACTATTAGATGTTAATTTAAGTGGTACATTTGCATTAAGAAATTGAGATATGTACAATTAATTTGCTTTTAATAATTGCTCTAAAGGATTCATTTATCTAAAAATCTGTAGTGTTATATACTTTCGATTAGATAAAGAGCTTTAAGTACTTATTTGCTATACTGCATATAATCATAGTCGACTAAGTCGACTAGTCTATAAAAAATTTTATCGACTGCAAAAAGTACGAATTATTGATGAATGGTAAAATTCTTGACGATATTAATTTAATCAATAAATATAAAATACAGTTTTCCTTTTTTCGATGAACTTTTTTATACTGAGCTTTTGAATTTTGAATCGAAACTAATCATAAAATTAATTGGTGTGTATAAAAACAACAACCTTTTATTTGGAAATTAATTTAGCTTTACGGTACATTGAATCCGAAACCAATTTTTTTATCATCATCGGATCTATCGGATATGTCCGGGTGGCTAATGCAAATCATCGGGTAATGTCGAATAAATATGCATATCAAACAAATAGAACTGTGTAGATAATGATTTAACTTCACATGGACTAATTTATTTCTATTATGAAAGAAAAGAATTTCATCAGCCGTCATAAGCTTCGTCATAAGCTTCGTCATAATTAAATAACAAGATTTTATTATTTATCAGACATAATGGTATTATGTCATGAAACATTTAATTTTGAATTGTTTTATTTATATCATGATAAATCATTATCGTTATTATATCAAAATGGTATATCACATACAATATTTATCATTCGTCATAAGTTTCGTCAACTCGGAGTTACCTGATGAAATGGTTTCGTCATTTATCAATGACGTATATTTCGTTATTCATCAATGATGGATATTTCATTATTTATCAATGATGGATATTTCATTATTTATCAATGATTGTATTTCGACGAATAGTTCGTTATTTGTCAATGACGAATATTTCATTATTTGTCAGGCATCATTATTGTATATTCGCACATATTAATACTGTATAAACTTAACAAAAATATGATATAGTAACGGTTAATTTTTATTATAACATTTATGTTGCTATATTAACTAAACCTTTTTTTTATTTATACATTAAAAGTTTAGTGTGTGAAATACATATTCATTATATATAAAATATCTTTTATAAAATGAATTATTAATTGATTATAAAGTTGGGCCATCTATGTAAGCTATTAGCGGGTTTAACATTAAGTAAAAAAACAAATAATAATAATAATAATAAAAAGAAGCTGTCTCGAAATATCCTGAATAGAAAATGAATGGATAAATCACTAAGGTCAGGATAAAATTTGAAAATAGAAATAATAAATACGTAAGTCGATTAAATAATATATATATATATATATATATATAGTATAAATGTGAGAGAAAGATATTATAGAGGGGCTTTTTTTCTATACTTACAACAAAAGAATGGATTAAATATATTGAATCCAATTGTATATGTATATGACAATATAAAACTTGGAGAGCATGAAATGAGCGAAAAGAAAACTACAGCTGATACGATTACATATTCAATTGGATATTGCCAAAACTGGTTAAGTCTGTTAGTCACACTTTCCGAAAACAAAACAACAATTTAAAAAATGGTTGTGATAAATCTACAGCAGAGACCAAAACTGGTGAGGGATTATATCCATCACAATTGAATCCAGCATAAATAATTTAATTTGTGATTGTTCACAGGCGAGAGGGATTCACTTTGGATCGGGCACTGTCTCTGCTGTATGATAAATCTTAAGCAAATACCATTCTTACGTAGAAAGGGTCCGAAATGCCTTAGAGATTAAATAGAAAATTTTACTATCACGACATTACCCGTTAAATTTCCGAGCAGAATAAACTTAATTATCGCAAAATCATATTGGACTTTTTCTGCTACAAAAGCCATATCATATTATTATTAGTTAATAAACTTAATGTTTCATAGGTTATTTTGGTGGTTATGCTATGAGGATTAAATGTAATGCTTATGTATAAGTGAATTTCTTTTTTGAAGTAAAATCGAATGTAATCTAGTTCAAGTTATTATAAATTTTGACAAAATAGGGTTTACCAACATTTATTGGAGTTTAGTATATGTGTATTATATCACTGAGTTCAATAAGTCATGTTACGATAAATAAATGCAAAAAAAATTAGAGTCAACAAATTAGAAACTGTGTCACATAAATTTGGTAGAGAAATAAACGTAGTATAGTAAAAAACGTTTTCAGCTAATCAGATTTAAGATTTTGCTGACGGGTTATGCACTCTGTTTCACTACGTTCTTGGCACGCCTAATTAAGAAAATCTTTTTTGTACAACAATTACATTACTTTCACAATTGTTTACTTTTATTTATGGCACATTCCTATTACAGTGAAACCTTTCTAAATATTTGATCTCAATAATTGCTATTTATTCTTCGAATGATACAAGTTGCACTTAGAGAGGTTTGACTGTATAATGTTTTATTATTAATTCATTCACGCCAAATCTAATGTACAGTTAGTAAAATATGTGTAATGAGTAGTGATGGGAAAATTAGCCTTTTTTCACATTTCATGCGCATGATGTGCATGGAATTCTGGCCTGCATTATGGTAATGCGGGCCAGAATTATGAGATTCCGAAATGTTCCGAAAATTCCGAAATATTCCCATGCGCATGAGCACATCACTAGTAATGAGGTTCTTTAAAAAAACAAACAAAACTGAGTTAAGCGGCCCATGGTGCGAAATTTAAGCGTTAGATTTACCCTAAAGTAAATATGCATACTTTATTATAGTAAAATCCATTTTTTAAATAACTAATTTATTATTTATTTATTTTCGTGGGGATTTTTAATTTTTGTTTATATCTTTGCATAAATAAGTTCGTTATTTTTTATATTTTTCTTTAGCATATCATTGATATCATTGATTAAATTGTAATTTGAAAAGAGTTTGGATCGAATACATTTTATTACCATAATACTGCAAAAGTGCATATACAAAATAGTAGACTCACCGCGAATCAGACCCGGGCTATAATATAGATCAAAACTTTGGTGATATGAAACAGACCCAGATATATTATAGGAAACAATTATTAGAAGATCCGGGTATGATATTAGAACATAATATATATTACATAAATTCAATAAGGTTTTGACTTTCTCCACATAAAAACCACCCCCCGATTATCGAATCAATGTTTAAACAACAGACCCTCGGGTCTTGTATATACACTTTTACGGTACACTTGACCCTCGTTAATATCTACCTAAACATAAATTGAATTGTTATATATTTAAATTTGTATTAAACTCCCTCATATATATCAACTTTAATATGATCCCTTATTAATATTACTATTAACATGAATATAAAAGTGATTCAAATAAGTTGATACTGGCATCGTAACGTTAATATAATTTTGGAATGTGTTGTATAATTTTCAGGAGCACCTAAAAAGTATTTCACCCCGACTTTGATAATAATGCAGGGACACTATGACAAGTCTGTATTGCCAGGGATGATGAATTATGTTGAGATGTGGGGTCTCTATTTAAAATATAACTCTATTAAAATCCACATATATTCTTTTATTATAAATTCTAACCTTAAATCCTCATCATTCGATTTCGATTTGTAATACTATTTTGAATGCGTGTATAACAAAAAAGGAAGGTTGAAAATTAAAATTGATTGGATTTCCGTCCCAAAAGACAATAGAAACACATTGCTTGAAGATTTATATTATATTCCCATTAGTACGTAAATGCATACGTACATATATGGCTTTTTATTTCTTGAATTGAAATTACATAATTCATGAATATCTTGGAATCTAAGTTCTGAATATCTTTTTTGTGACATTTCGGTATTTTGTATTCCCCATATGTTAATGCTTAATTACGATCATGGATTTTATTCCTTATTATGTTTATACAAAGTAAATCGGTATTTTTTTTTTTACTATGTTTATTAAAATCAATTAGTAAACAGATAACGCAGTCTGATTAATTAATTATATTGATATAACATTATAGCATATTTCGTATAATATACTTCTCTTTTGTTTCATCGTCTTGATTTCGTCGCAACGAATTAAGACGGTTTATCAACTTCTATATAGGAAACCATTGTGTTAGTCTGTTTGTACTCCACACATTTCACACATTTGGTAATATTGTGTTTACTAGAATATTCCATATTACCTTATGAGTAAAAAAGATCGCTAATCTTGCCTACTATAACTTTGTTATGATCACAAACTTACCTTTCTAATATAAAACTTTAACCTTAAGTCAAGTATTGGGAAAATTTTTTTTTTCCTTTCTAGAAATGCAAGAAATCAGCATTGTTGATAACTTGCCATTTTTTTGTTAACTTAACGGTAACTTACCGGAAATTTTACAAATTACCATAATTTCCAACTTTTGAAGAGGTCCCTGTCCATTTTAAATAATCATTAGTGTCACGTGGAATAAGCAAGTGGGCGTAACGTCACCCGCAAAAAAACGGTAGCCGGACAGGTCTGCCGGGTACACGTGATTATGTGATTCAGATTTTATTATTAGCAATTTTGATTACAAATCAAAAAAAAAGTCTAAAATTCATTATCATTACCATACAATAACGAATCGTTACTTTTGTGCTGTTATTGCTTAAAATTTTTACTTATTTGAATTTTTTTTCTTTGATTATTAGCACATTTAAATTTTTTTTATAAAGATAAGTCGCTCTTTTACTATGTCAGTTCAACAACCCAAATCCTGTACAGGATGTCATAAAAAAATGGTTGCAATGCCGAAACCAAATTAAATTATCATATTCAAGAACAACCTGACACGAGAATTATAAAATTTTATCTTTCAATATTTTTAGAGCGATAGCAATAATGAAATAACAATTCATTTAACATTTTGAGTAATTTAAATAAATTACCATCCATTATAAACACTTTTTATAGTAACACATCTTTTGAAATTATTAACTTATTGGTCCAACATAGAAATAAAAACCAAATGCTTGTAAAAAAAAAAGACTTTACCTACAAATATGACCAAAAGAAAACGTATAAATAATAAAATTTTAAGCGATTCATGTTATTCATTAAAAAAATTCTTTTGAAAAACTTAGAGACCATATTAATCCATAAATACGATAAAGACATTTTCTGATTAGTGATCGAAATTGAATTGTCCATAATTAAATCCGAATCACATAATAACATGTACCCGGTAGATCTGTCCGGCTACAATTTTTTGCGGGCGACGCTAGGGGGCGTACGTCTCAATATTAATAATGTACGCACGCACATACATACGTACGTACGCATACTCCTTTCTTGATTTATTGATGGAGAGCATCTTTAATACCAATATTGTGTGACTACGTATTAAACCTTGAATATCACCTATATTATCACCGCAATTTTTGTGTTACTTACTAAATTTGTTATTACTTCATAGATTTTTTTTTTTTCTCTATTTATTTACTGTATTTATCTGTATTTATTGCACTCTGATCATATTTCTGGTCACGAGTTTATCAATCGGGTACTTTTGCACGTGTTACAATGTTATTAACGATGATCCTTTGTTTACGCATAAATAGGTATTAAAAAACGCCTAAACATCAATATTTTTATCATCCCCTTTTTCTCATAATTGGTTTCCGTTTCTATAATTTTTTTACTTTTATTACCTAAAAAAAAAAACATTATCTTGAGCAAAAAGTGTAAATATATTGGCATGGGTGACCCTGAAGATGAAGTAGTCGATATGGACCTGGACAGTGACTCCGAGACAAGTAAAACTTGTAAAAATCCTGAATTTGTTAAGGATCTTTGTACATCACAATCTATTCAACGCAATACTGTTATTATTCAAAAATCTCCTGAATTTATTAAAAAACCTGAACAAATCCAATCCAAAATTTCTCCTAAAATGATCAACGCTGATCTTCCTGCCTTAAGCAAATCCCTGCCACAAAAGCTGTCTTTGTCACCTATTCCCTCTACCTCAAGTCATCTTTGCCAAGCTTCGCTCTCAAATCAATCTATATGTCAAGATTCTTTGACAAATGGTCAAAATTTAAGGTTTTAATTCTCCTTCCTCCCTTAATATACTTATTCATCTCTATTCACGTGACCATTTTAACTAACCTTTTTTTTTATTTATTTATTTTTATTCTAGACCATCTCATTCAAAACTTTTCTCCTTTCGTCTTTCTCCTAAACCTAACCCTTTCAAATATAAAATAAGGGCTAATTTTAACGTCAATCAGGATTCTCTAACTATTCAACCTCGATCAAATAATCTTTTATCCGCTTTTGGTAACAACCGTTCCACAAACCTCAATGTCTCTCCGACATCTGAGGCTCACAAAGAAATTCGTCCTCCTTCCGTATCAGCTGATCTCTTAAAATCTGAATTCTCCTCTAAAGTAATTCCTTCAGCTACTCAAAATACTCATGTAATGGATTTAGATAACAATTTCAAACCATCTACTACAATTTCTTCTTTACCAATTAATTGTGAAGAAGGGGAAACAATGCTTACTAATAATTCCATTAATTCCATCCATTTTCCTACTGCTCCTTCCAAATCTTGTGAAAATCATTTGAACCTTTTTGAAAATTTCAATAAAATAGATTTAAATAATTCTTTAAATATCAACCATTTTCATTCTTTACCCATAAATCCTTCCGTTACTACTAAATTCGATAAAATGGATTTAGATCACTCTTCAATTGTTACTGCCACATTATCTAATCCAAATTTTAAACCACTCATTAATTCGGATTTAAATATCTTTTTAGATAATAATAACGTCAATATTACAAATTCTACTACTATACCAATTATTGATTCTGTTGAAAAAGATATTAAAATGGGTTTAATTCAAGATCTTAAAGCCTCTGATATTTTGAATTCTATTAATGAAAAAGTTGGTTTAAATAACAAAGAAGAATTGGATGTCATCGTACAATCGGCTTCTTTTGGTTCCGATGAACAAATTTGTCCTCAAAATTCTTCTATCATTGAATTAAATAATTCTATTACCAATAATAATAATTTATCCAATCAATCTCAAAAAAAGAAAGTTGATAAGGGTAAACAAAAAGAAGTTTATAATGAAGATGAGTTGATTCAAGATGATAATAATAATAATATTATTAATAGTCCGAAAATTTCTGAAAGAAGTCTTGATTTAAAAAATGGTTCAATAAATGAAAAAGAAATTATTACAACTTCTCAAGATGATTTAAAACAAGTAACCGATGAATCAGAATTACCTAAGGATGTTCTTGACAGATATCAAGTTGTAAGTTTTTTAATCTCTTTTTTTTATTCCAATCAATCAATTATTATTTTCAAATAACTGACTTTGAGATTATATTTAAAAAAAAAGCTTGATAATGCTTTATATGAATTCGATCAAGCTACTCAAAGAGCATATGAAGCATATCTTAATTTAGAAAAAATTTTACCTACTGGAACAATTATCAGAATAGACCCTCCTACGACTGATAGATGGAAAATTATAAAAGAAATGATGGGAATGTCTTCTAAGAAAAGATATAGGTTAAATGGAATTTCTAACATGCAATCGAATATACAACCGAATATACAATCGAATATACAACCTAATATACAACAGAATATACAATCGAATATACAACCGAATATACAACCGAATATACAATCGAATATACAACCGAATATACAACAGAATATACAACAGAATATACAACAGAATATGCAACCGAATATACAATCAAATACTCAACCTAATATACAACCGAATATACAACCGAATATACAATCAAATACGCATCCGAGTACGCAACCTAATAAACCAGGTAAGTGTAAACTTTTTTTTTGTAAGAAATTTGATTTAATTAATATAATTACTGTGGGTGGGTTAAAGAATATCATGTAAAAAAAGTTATAAGGTTTCTGATGAAAAAATTTGTTATAGAATGTAGGAACTCTAAGAACTCTTCGACTTATGTTAATAATAAAACTACTCGGGTAAACGAAGAAGTTGTTAACACGAATTTGATTAATTCGAACTCGATTAATTTGAATTTGATTAACTCGAATTCGGTTAATTCGAATTCGGTTAATTCGAATTTGATTAACTCGAACTCGGTTAATTCGAATTTGATTAATTCGAACTCGGTTAATTCGAACTCAATGAATACGAATTTGATGGATACGAATTTGGTAGATATATCATCTGATGTCCTTCCTGATGATGATGATTCAAATATTGGATCAAGGAAACGAAGTTCCAGAAAGGTACATGAAACTCGAAGCCAGAAACCACCTAGTGCAAATCTACGCAGTAAGACACTCACTTCTTTTGCCGATATCAACAAGCCGACATTACAATCAGATTTAAGTGTCGCTCGACGAAGATCTTCAAAACAAAGTTTACAAAGTCCTAAATCCGCAAGAAATACTAGAAGCTCAACCAAGGAAAAGGAAATCGATTCCTCATACAAAATTAAATTTTCTAATATGAAAACTTATGCCAGAAAGCAGAATAAAAGTATTCCCGAGAGTATCTTGAACCTTACAGATTTTACAAGCTTTCCTGAAAACGATGAACAAAAGAAACCAACTACTGCTTTTGGAATTTATTGTTTGGAACTCGCTACCGTTCACTTTTACGGAAAGGGAATGTCTAATCAAGAATTCGTTACTTTTGCTGCTGGATGTTGGACTCAATTGTCTGATGATAATAAAGAAGTAAGTTTATCAATAAATTAAATATTTTAAAGGACTATTTATTTTTTTTGACAATAATATATTTTATAGGAATACGAAAAAAGGCGACGTATTATGGTTCAACAAATTAAACAAAAAATAACTCAACAACAACAACGAGATCCACAGATTGAATCTTCAAGATCTGCGAGAAAATTCAATTGATTTCGTCTTTCTTTCTTTCTTTCTTTTTTTTTTGTTTTTGTTTTGTTTTAATATTTCTCAATTCGTTTTAGATAAAATTTTATTGAAATGAAGCATTCTCTTTTTTATTCTCTTTTTTATTCTCTTTTTTTTTCTGTAAAATCAAGAAAATGCTTTTTTTTGTAAATAAATCAATAAATAAAAAAAACCCCAAATGGACAATAATTTACAGGTCATATTTAACGTTAGGTTGTTTATAATAAACTTAGATAGGTATATAACTTTAAATATTTCATATTTCGATTTATTCATTAAGTCATGCATTAAATTCTTATAATTTGTAAAGTTATGCTATGTAGTAATGTAGTATAAAGTTAAATAAATGTGTAATTGGAAATTTTGCTTTTATGTTTAGAAAAAAAGAAATATATTTTATATCGATATATTGCAATTTTTGTAATTGTATTACGTGATGTGGACTTCTAATTACATGTACTTTCATAATTTAATGTAATCTTTTTTAAAAAAAACGCGTATACCTATAGTTTAAATGTGTTATCGTAATAACATTTTAAATATGTTATCGTAATAACATTTTTAATATGTTATCGTAATAACATTTTTAATATGCTATTGGATTTTTTTAATTGCCTGCTTTTTTACAGTATTATAATTGTTTAAAAAAAAACGTTAAATATATGATAATAAAAATTTTTAATACGTAGTTAAAAAAAATTTGGAATAAGATTCATAATTTTAAAAATCATAATGAAAGAACATGCTATGGTATTTCACATACTTATATATAAATTAAGCAGTAAAAGCAAGTTTAATTGCAATTAATTCATCATTTCAGTATTACAAAATACCTGTCAACTATCAAAATTGGAAGTCTATTATTAAAATCATGAACCATATTTACATGACTTAAATTTAACTAAACATTTATCTACTTTGATTCTATCACTTTTAACTTTGTTATCAATCTTTTTTCTATATCTTCTTTTTTTTAAAGTTTGACTAGGCATCTCCCCTCACGGCTTTTAGCGTATGCTAAGGCTTTAGGATCATTCTCATGATCTTACATATTTAAAATATACCGATTATTACATAAAATTTTTGACTTGGTAATACACAACAATATATAATCCCAAAACTGTATAAAAAAGATATATTTTAAAATGAAATATCGAATTATTTTTACTGAGAATTTATTATTATTTTAATATAAATACTGTAAAATACTGTAAAATGCGTATACAAGGCTCTCTAAATACTGAAATAGTAGACACGGGCACAAGATCTCTATTAATCAAATATAATTTTTTTTAAATAACTGGATCGTCTATTACATATTATATAAATACTATATATGCATGATGCAACCATTTAGCTATGTAATATACCTGAGGTTTTAAAATTGGTCAAATGAATTAGACTCGGGTCTTGTATACCCACTTTTATAATATTAAATGTTAACCAATAGAATTAAAATACGATTAATTTATCAAAATCAATTTTGAATTTGTTATGATAATCTAAAATTTAAGCAATCAATTTTAGTAAAGTGTACAAGTAATTTTTTTTAAATGAGTTTTTCTCATCTTATTTTTATCTTTATTTCAATTATAAATTATCTACTATAAAATTTTATAAGTTGCCTTCATTTCATCTCTGTTGTGTAATTAAGATTTTGGTTATATAATAACTTTACTGATATTGTATATCTTAGACTAGTATTTTTCTGCACTTGCTCTAGTAATGGGTTGTAAAAGATTCTTCAGATTAAAAATAACAAGATCTTGATCTGTTCTATTACATCTTGACTTTGAAATACCTTTGTATAATTTCAATATATGATAATCTTTGATTCTCTATTTGTAAATAAGTTTAAAATTAACTTAATTATTATTTTTGGTAACTTAATTCTTTTTATAGTTAACTTTAATGTAATATTGAATTAAATATTTTTTTATATCTTAAAGAATTAAATAGAATTTTTTATGATTATTTTTTATATTTTTATTATTATTTTTATAATATGAGTTATATATATATCATGTTGCTAGTTTATATATTTAATTTTCTTATTTAGCTTTTCTATATTCTCTTTTAACTACTTTATTTTAATATTCTTATTTCTTAAACTAGAGATGCATTAGTCTGGTCTAGTCTAGTAATAATCTAATCCAGTTTTTTAGTCTCAAAACAGTTCTTTATAACATAAGTTATAATTGGTCTATTTTTTATATATACATTTTAAATATTATAATCAATATTAATTTGTATATCTGTAATTTGTAACAGATTAAATCACTTATTTCAATCACTATCTGATTATATTTTCAATCATAAATTATTAAAAAAAACTTATAAATTCATAAGTTTTCTTTTTATATTAACTAAACAAATATTTTTATAAAAAAATAAAAACTTTAGTAAATACTATATAAATATTTTACTAGTATATTATAATTACTTTTTAAACAAAGCAAACAGTATATCATTTCTTTAATTATACTATTATTTAACACTTATTTAAAAGGTTCTTTTTTTTTACTTAATTTTACCTTTTTGAATAAAGAAAATAACTCAAAACTAAATTCTCTTCTAAAAATTTTATTTTTGTTTCATTATACTGTTTTTTGAATTTATCTAATATGGTTTATAATATTAAACTAATATTTTAATAACTAAAATTAATAACTAAAAATAAAATGATACTGAAAATATTACTCTTATCTATTTTATTAATTCTGTTATATATATATTTTTTAAAAAAATATACAAATTTGTATAATTTGTGAGATATTTGAAAGATTTTTTATACTAATTTTTTTTATAAACTTTATTAAAAATTTGTTCTCTTTACAGTAACTCTTATTAGAAGACAATAGATTATTTAAACTTTTAATTTGTATATTTTACTCATATTAGATAAAAAAAATAATTTATAGAATTATAAAAAAATAAAATTATTTTTTATATATTTAACTTTAATTTTGTAATTATAATAGCTTTTCATTATGATTTAAAACAGTAATTGAAATAAATAACTTAATCTATTACAGATTATAGACATGTTTAATTTTTTAGTTAAAATTTACTATGTAATACAAAAATATAAAATTTACAAGCAATTATTTGTAACTGTATATAATATTTACAAAATATTTTTTTTATGTACAAAATTTTAATTCTATATGTTGTATACTGTCTGCATAGTCTGTACAGTAAAAAATAATTACTGGAATAATTTATCTTAAACCAAACATAATTTTTTTTAAGCTACCTCAGACTTTAGAAATTTGTTAGTTAAACTTTCAAGATTTTACATTTAATAATTTTTTTTTTTTTTTTTTTTTTTTAAGGCCATACTTGTGGCGATACTTTATTAACTTTTATTAGGTTAGCTATTACAACTATTTTTTATAGAGATGAGAGTACAGCTAGTCATACATGCAACTTTTGGTTGCCTATTTAAATAGTCCGCCCTAAGGTTCTACACTAGATGCTGTGCCTATAACCTACTAGGAGATTATCCATTTAAACCTTCTGATCATCCACCCTGTTATATTGGAATCACCAACTAACCTCCTGTATATACCTACCTGGTATACCATCTGAGCAGTATGGTACCTACTCTTTTTGTACTGGTTCCCAGGCCGTTACATATTTCAGAGTATGTTACCTGCCAGTAAGGCGCAGGGGGCCCCCTGATATTAACTATCTACCCACTTTTAGAACACTAACACGGGCTACCCTTGCAGAGTTCACCCAGACCCCAGTACTGACTTCATAGCATATCCCTAGTACTTTTAGTATACCCTTGCTTTGAACCCAGA